AAATTTTATTAAACTACTTTTTGCTTATATTATACCAATTAGAATAGCATAAGATCTTAGCTATTAATTCATATTTTAATAGTATACAAGTTTTAAGGCAATATTTTAAAAAATCCTGAATTTCCACTAGTGTGACCCACGTGACACATTTTGTCTTACCATGTCATCTTCCATATTTTATCCACCACCCCTCGAAAAAGTACGATATTAAACATAAATTACTCTCTATAAAATTATCATTACTCAGACAAGACATAATTTTTATATTCTTCATTTTCTCTTTCAGAATTCGTTAATAGTTCTCTCATACGTTTAATTATATATTACCTATAACCAATAGAAAGTCAAGGTTTTCACCTATCAAATGACATATTGTTTAATGTTATGTTCTGAATGGTTAAATGTCTATTTCACTCAGAGTACCAACATTGTTCCCGTGAGAAAGTTAACGACTAGCTTGGATGAATTTGTAATGTCTCTTGTCGCATAGTTAGAAAGCCAGAAAAATTTTGAGAGGTAAGGGAATTTGTCTACTTTTTGTATATATTAGTCTACATTCTTTGGTGCATTATATAATTAAATAAAAATTATCAAGTGCATTACCATCATTAGTATAAAAAATTAGGGTTAACTCTCTTCGACAAACGACAGCAAGAAAAAAGAAGATTGTTTAAGTATTTTATTTCTTGTTTATTCTTTATGTCTAATTATAAAAGTAACTAAAATATAAAAATATGGATCTTTTTAGGTTAGTTAAGATTAGATTAGGTAAAATAAATAATATCAATATTATCATAAAAATGTTTCACGAGGCACACATGTGAGCAGCTTGTAGTAGCTTGTGGGTAATGTAATTTATTAGCGTAGTGTGAGCTGTACATTCCCCGAGCATGGATAGTAGTTAGACATGGCTCAAAGGGCAATAAAACAGTAAAATTTAATTATAGATAGATGTATACTGTTACAAATTAGAGGTACTTAGGATAAAGAAATATAGTTTCATCTTACAATTTGAAGTCATTCTAGAAAGAAAAAAGTGTAATTTAGAATTTTTTTCGTGTGTGGTTACGAGGTAGGTTGACTTGACCGATTCTGTTTTAAGATAGGGTAGAGAAAAATAACAAATAAAGTATAAAGTTTTGCTGAAAAAAGCCTTTGAAATGCATTTAGGAGGTTTAAGGGATTACACAAAGGAAATTTTAGAACTTTTGAGATGAGGAAAAGTATTTTTAATTTTAACACGAAAATTACTTTGCATTTGGACTATTCCAAATTAATACTCAATATATTAATGAACAAATCTTTATTTTATTTTATTAAAGTACTTCAATTTTTTATGTGAAAGACTTATAATATGAACTGAAAGACTGCCAAATTTTGTGAAGATATACACACTATATTGAAAGTTAGAAGTATTAAACCTATAAAGACTTTAATCAAGTACAAAGAGGTCACGTGGTCAGTCAAATTGACCGTGCTCATATTGATTAACATGTGCCCAATTCATGGGTCTGAGGGTCTTGATTTCCTCCAGCCTTACGAAGTTAAGGTGAAGATGGTATGATCCTCTTTCCTACCCCTGCCAGATGGCTTGGCTTTGGATTGTAGTTGATTGCTGCCAATATGATCCTCTTTCCTACCCCCACATGGATGTTGGTTCCCAGTGGCCTGGGTTTTGGTTTGTAGTGGACTTGCCAGTGGTATGATTCTCTTTCCTATCCCCACATGGATGTTGGTACCTGGTGGCTGGATTTTGGATTGTAGTTGACTTACCAATAGTATGATTCTCATCCTACCCCTGCATGGATGTTGGTTCCCAGCGGTATGGATTTTAGATATAATTCACTTGCTGTTATGGTCCGTTGTGCCCTACTCACTCTACACCTAGAGGCACATCTTTTTAATCTTACCCACTTTTATGTTTTCCGGGATTGAGTTTCATAAATATTGTATGGTTTAGCTCCCTATCCTGCCATAGTTCTCTCCTACTTGGATGTGCTCCTTTGTTCTTCTGCCCATATATACAATATCTTTCCACAATGGGCAATGAATATACCTGTTTCAGAAGTGGTGTGGTCTCCCACATATGATCTTTGGCTCTGAAGATCTCCTTTTGGGGAGTGTCCTTAGGACACTTTCAAAGGATGCTTCTTTCCCTCACACTGGTCTATCCACCAACTCAGTGTGGTATTCTAGCTATTTATTTGAGTGGAGGTAATGTACCGTATTGGAAGTTATAATTTTCCTATACTGAAAACATATTTTTGATGGGTAATTACCTCCTTTCACACTTCCCACCCTTCCTGTTCACTGAAAGCTGGTGCTTCCATTTTCTACCAACACTCCAAGTAATAGTTTGGTACAATTGAATAGAGGGAGTCACATGCGGCAAGAGTATGTTGCACTCTTATTGGTGGAGGGTTGGTGCATAATAATTTGCACGCAAGATGAATTGGAATGAGCCAATTCCAAATAGATGGGAGTTTCAAGACTTGTGGCATGTGCAAAAAACAAAACAAATTGCATATAGAGGGTAGCACTGAATCAGAATAACTATTTATGTGAAAGGAGGTAAGTACCTATTGGAAATCCTTTTTCAGTATAGGAAAATTATAACTTCACAGACATATCTTGGGTAGAAATACTTTGTAAAAAGACAAATATAGTTAACACCGCTTAAGTGGCGAAAAATGATGAAATTAAATAATAGGTTGAACAATTGCCAAGTTTATTTCTTTTTATTTAGATACTTTTGTTGTAAACTGTACAACCTAACAAAGAGCACTAGCTCGAAATGTCATCCTTCTTTAAATAAAAGTTAAACCACTTGGAGATTATTCAACTTATTATTTAATTTAGAAATTCTTTGTAACTCATCTAATTTTATGTGTTCAACAGACTTGTACTAAACACTTGTCACATTTTGTGCAGAGATACATAGTGAATTCTGAATTACAGCTAATACTCCTTCTCCAGTACCTGGTTGGTTCAGTAGACTGAGCTTGTGTGCATCTGGTTAATAAGTGCATAAGAAACTTAATTTTGCTGACTTGTATACTCATATTGAGAGTTTTGTATATTTTCTTTTCCAAAACCATTTTATTAAAACAATCATTTTGTAACAACATTTGCGGAATTTTTTTTTATTTATTTTAAAGAAAATTATTAAGAACATTTACTCAATTTATATGTAATTATATTGTTAAATCTGCTTGCAAACTAAATTGTTTTTACTTACAAAACATAATTAGCATTTTGCTATCTCAGCTGTTCAACAGCATGTATTCCCATCGAAAGATTTGTGAAATTCATAATTAGAAAGGGATCATACAGTACCAGCAATGTAGATTTCTCTGTTTTCACTCCTGCCACATTATACACAGAATTAATTTACATTTCAACTTTTGAGAGCTGTGGAAAAACTAGATAAGTGAAAAAAGTTCTTAATTTTTGGGTTTCAACCTTACTTATAGAGGTGAGTAGATAAATGAATAACACAACATTCATGAGGCAGTTTGATTGGTCAAAACAGTTTAATGGTTTTAAGAAAAGTCTTAGCTTCAAGAATTAATACCAGGTGTTCTATGATGAAAAAAAGTTCTGATAAAAGTTTTTCTTTATTCATTTGTTTTAACATTTAAATGAATTTTGCTTCTTCTATTTAAAACTTGGAATTAGAGTATAACTAAATTTAATAGAGCATTAAGTTTAATACATGAATTTCGTAACTACTTAAGGATTAGTTTTTAAACTCATGATTTTTCTATTAATATGCCTAAAATAGTTTAAGGTCTCCTTCTTTGCTAAGGTTGTAAACTTGGGAAAACAGTTATCAGTTTAGAGTAAAGATAACTGAATGATCGATTAATGTACAACTGTCATTTCTAAACTTGATTTAGGATTTTTAATGAGAAATGGTATAGCATTCAAAAAGAAAAATATAGCTATGAGATGATTGAATTTGTTTAAGCATGTAGTATTTTAAGTAGAAAATCAGAGGCATTGTTATGATAAATACGAATGATGATATCAGTGAAGACTGAATAATTTCTTTAAGTTTAAAGAACTGCAGCTTGATTCCAGGTCAGGAGGTTTAAAGTATTCTTTATAGATATATATACATATATGAAAAAGATAACATCTGGATCACAGCATAGTGGTTTGCAGTATTTGCCTATAGTTTGTAAGCAGAAGTTTATCTCTTTAAATTATTGAGCCCAAATTGACCAAAAATTGTGAAAGATGATACTGAAAATTTCAATCCATTAAACATATATTTTATGACTATTGTATTATTTTATTCTACATATCTGTATATATGCACGTACTCCATGTTAACCTGTACCTAATAATAAGCTCATTAGTCACTGTTATGGTTAATATTCTTCTAGTTTATAAACAATGTCACAAAGTAATGTTTATTTTACTCAACAAAAAATATATTTCTATTAGTTTTGTGAAAGTTTGTAGGGAGACATCCAAGATATGGGATTAATCCTATTTTGAACTTTGTATTAAGTTTCACTGCATATATGAAACATTTCTATGTACAACAATTTAGGATTAAAAAGTAACTTAATTTTAAATTGTTGTACCTGAAAATGTCTAATATATTAAACAAGGGGTAGTTGGAAATCCCAAAAATAGCTGAAAATAAGAATATTATCTCGTGTAAGAATAATTGATTGTAATCAATTAATGAACCTGAGGATTAATTGATAAGCATTAGTTGCCAAGCTGTAGTGGCTAGTGTACGTTTCATTAATCTGATGTCACTTGCTACAAAATATTATCAAATTTCACATGTTGATGAAGTACACAATCAGCTAATTAATTTGCTGTTGATCCTAAATTTTAACCTATTTAGCTAAATCATTAACTTTAAGAGCCTACTGTGGATCAACAATGCTACTGCTACTACACCATTTTAAATGAGTGATTATTTTGTACCACAGTAGATTGCTGTAATCACTATGTATTTGGTATTTTTAGTGGCCAGTGGTGTTGTTTGCTGGAGAAGCTACTGACCAGGATTTTTTTTCCTCTGCTCATGGAAGTCTGAGATCAGGATGGAGAGAAGCTGATCGCTTGCTTTCATTAAAGAGGTATTTCATATTCTGTTGAAAATGAAAATTGAGTGAATTTTTTGACAATGTTCTTAGTCACTATTGTAGCTGTAAGAAAATCGGGAGTGGATCAGACAGAGCACACTAATCATTGCTAAAAAGTGACAATCACATTATCTCTGAAGATATTAGATGATTACTTCAGAACAACTCTTTACATTTATGTAGTACTTATATATCTGTGTTGAAATTCAGGGGTAAATAAATCATCATATAATGCATGTTGAAATATAGAGCAACTTACTGTGACATATCTTACATGTAACTGGACACTGCTTTGGTGAGAAACTAACAACATTCACAACAAGATATATGAAGTTAATTTTTCTGTGTGCCGATCATGTCAGCACTTAAAGTTTCAACTAATACATAACAGGAATATAAAATAAACAAGGTCCATAGTGTATTCTGTCAGTATTTTTCCTGAAGTTGCTGTAAGAGACATAACTGTAATTCTTTGGCAGCTGTTGTACACAGATTTTCTTGGGTTCTGTTTTTAGTTTCAATTCTAACTTTTGTTTGTGACTTACTGTTTGATTAACACTTTCAATATGGGCTTGGTTAATTTGACCGATCATGTGACCCTTTTTGTACTCATTTAAAGTCTTTATAGATTTATTACTTATAACTCTCAATACAGTGGGTATATCTTCACGAAATTTGACAGTCTTTCAGTTAATATTACAAGTCTTTCACATACAAAAACTCATATTTCTTAGTAAATTATTTTTAATAAAATAAAATAAAGTTTTGTCCATGAATATATTGACTATTTGTTTTGAATAATGCAAAGTAATTTTCATGTTAAAATTTAAAAATACTTTCCTCATCTCAAAAAATCTCAAATTTCCTTTGTGTAATCCATAAAACCTCCTAAATGCATTTCAAAGTTTTTTTCAGTAAAACTTTATAGTTTATCTGTTATTTTCTCTACCGTATCTCAAAATTTGATCGGTCATAACCAACCTCATAACCATAAAAAAAAATGGAAATAAACCTAAATTAACCTTTTCTTTCTAGAATGACTTCAGATTGTAACATGAAACTACATTTGTTTATCTATGTAAGCTGTAAGTTTGAACTGCGTCTAACTACTATCCACATCATTATAAGTTGTAAATCACTTGGGGAATGTGCAGCTCATGTTACGTTATGGAATTACACTACCCATGAGCTGCTCACATACGTGCCTCATGTACCATTTTAATTATATTATTATTATTACTTATTTTATCTAATCTAGTCTTAAATAACTTAAAAAGATCCTTATTTTTAGATTTTAGTTTCTTTTACAATAATAAATAAAGAATAAATAAGAAAAGCAAGAAATAAAGTACTTACCTAATCTTGTTTTTTCTAGCTGTCGGATTTCGAAGAGAGTTAACCCTAATTTTTTTATACTATAGATAGTAATGCACTTAATAATTTTTATTTAATTAAATAATGCACCAAAGAATATAGACTAATAACATGCAAAAAGTAGACAAATTCACTTACCTCTCAAAATTTTCCTAGCTTTCTAACTATGTGACAAGAGCCATTACAAATTCATCCAAGCTAGTCATTAACTTTCTCATGGGAATGAATCTTGTACTATAAGTGAAATTGATGATATTCTGTTCAGAATAAAACGTTATACAATACGTCATTTGATAGATGAAAACCTTGACTTTCTATTGGTTATAAGTAATACATAGTGAAACGTAAGATAGAACTATCAATGAATTGTGAAAGAGAGGATGTGGCAGGAGGTGTCTGATTTTCTATTTGATAGCTCTGTAACCAAACAAAATTGAAGGCTGTAAAATTTATGGTTTGTTTGAGCAATAATGATTTTATAGAGAGTATTTTATGTTTAATTTTGAACATTTTCATAGGGATAAAATAGAGATGGTGACATGCTAAGACAAAATGTGTCACATGGGTCACACTAGTGGAAATTCAGGATTTTTTTAAAATATTGCCTTGTAGAATTAAGAACTTAAAACTTGTATACTACT